TATGTAGAATTAACAAAATTCAATTAAAATATCAAATTCAAAAGTATGAAATTTTCTACTCCAATTAATTCTCACTCGTTGCACCCCCCCCCCCATCNGGGGGGGGGGGGGAGAAAGAGTAGAAAAATTAATATCTACATTTCGAATTTCAGGCGCCGAACACTGAACGATGCTATCCTGTTTGAACTAGTGTTCATTTCCACTATTGTTCGTTGTAGCTACTGTACGTGTGATACCACGTGAGTAGTTTAAACAACCAATATTTCAAACGAGTTTGTTTCATGCTCATTTGAACTATTTTTTTGTTCATTTGAAATTTTAACATAAAGGTTCAAATGACCCTTAAAAATAGTACAAACAATAGATCAAATTAACAAAAAAAATTGTTCAAATAAACAAAAAATTGTTCAAATGAACAAAAAAAATTTAAAATTCAAAGAAACATGAAATATAGTTTTATTCAGCTTAAGAACTTAAAAATGTTATGACTATTTTTGGTTCATTAGAACTATTTTTATGTTAATTTGAACTCATAGCTGAAGCTCTCGGCTCCTAACCTGTCCTAGCCGAAACGCGAGCCCAGAAATTGTTTTAGCCTAACCTAACCCTACGTATCGTCTATCACTTTGTCAATTTGATAAATGTGACCTCAGCGCTCGGCCCTCTAGCCTATCCTAACCGCAGCACTCGGCCTAGAAATTGTCTTAAACTTATCGGCCATCCCAATTTGTTAACTTGATAAATGTGGCTGCAGCGCTCGGACCCCTAGCCGCAGTGCTCGGCCCAAAAAATGTCTTGACGCAACCTAACCCCACATTTAAACTAGTTTTATATTTTTCCACCATATCATTTAAACTATTTTTGTTCATTTTAACTATTATTAAGTAAATTTGAACTATTTTTTTGCTATTTTGAAATTCTTATGTTCATTTGTACTAATTTTATGCTCGTTTGATCTATATTTTTGGTTCATTTGAACTATTTTTTTATCTTTAATTGTTTTAGCTATAGACTTCATAAAATCCCAAAATCTTAAAAACTACTGTAAGTTAAGAAAAATATTTCAAATGAGCACTTTAATATAGTGGAGTATTCAATATATTCATTAATATAGTGGAGTATTCAATATATTCTTTAATATAGTGGAGTATTCAATATATTCTTCAATATAGTGGAGTATTCAATATATTCATTAATATAGTGGAGTATTCAACATATTCNCTGTATAGTGAGGGAGGGAAGGTATCATCCTGTATACTGTATAGTGAGGGAGGGAAGGTATCATCCTGTATACTGTATAGTGAGGGAGGGAAGGTATCATCCTGTATACTGTATAGTGAGGGAGGGAAGCCCATTTCTTCCGAACAAGCCTTTTTTTTCGTCCGGCATTGTTTACAATCTTTTTTAAATTACTTTAAATTATTATATTAGAAAGTTGAGCCACGTCATGTTGTTTATAATGCAGGTTTAAACTGTTTTATCCTGTTTTTTTGTTTAAGAAGAACATCTTTTGAAGATAACGATAGGCTTAAAACAATTCAGCACTGGATTTCAAAACTCCAATCTGTATCTGTGTTGAATAATTCTGACTCTTTCTTGAAAGGATACAGGGTGTCCAAAAAAACATGGGAATTCAGTGACGAATTCGATATCGTCTTTGTTATGAATTAGCATTGTAATACCTAATTTAAAAAGCCATAATATTATTATGTCTGCTAGAGTTTGTTTTATGAAAAGCTGCAAAGATGTGTTTATAATGTCTCCGCAAGATGAACAGTGAAGACGGACAGTTAACTCTGTTTGTATACTAAAATTTTCTTGTTTTACGAAGTACAACCGTATGCAGTCAAAACATAAACAAACAAAATGTGAACATAGCAGACGAAACTCTTACAGAGTACAGCTTTCTCAGTAGGTATCACTATACTAAATCAAAGAATTATTTAAAAAGACGATATTGAATTCGCCACTGAATTCCCATGTTTATTGGGACACCCTGTATAATAAATGGTTCTGTGGAAACCAATTCTGCACTATAGAACATTTCTGTAAAGTAGTGAATTTATCCCACATTTTGTATACGTAACACTATTGAGGATATGTACGACAGCTGTGCCATCGTACTGTTAAAGTAGCATATCTGAGGAATCTGAGAGGGCTAGGGTATTTACAGCTCCCAAATATGAACATTTGATATTGTTGCAGTTTTCTGGTTATTACTGTAAGAAAATTGAATTTAAACCTAATCTTTTATTTTATAATATTCATCAATATAATAACCAGAGAACTGTGGCATGGGAAGACGACATCTTAGACTTTAGCATGCATACTCATTTAACTGAATAAGTAATTTAATAAGTTTCTAATTTGTAATGACATTTTTAACTAAAAAATTTTCCATTTTAATATTCATCCAATGTGAACAAATGAAAAATGTGTCATTAAATTGTTAATTAGTAGCTTAACCACAAGAAACTTTAAAATTTGAAGACTGTTGAAACATGTGATATTTTAAAATCTACAGAGATGGTTCCATTCTTTTATCTTCAGCATAAATTTGCAATTTACAGTTAAAATTATTGATTTTCAGGTTGAAAAACAATTCCGTTGCACGCAATTCCGCGAATATTTAATTGCTTCTTTGTTCGCAATTATAGCGCAATTCCAGGCAATGAAATGGCGCAAGAGGAAGCAATCATTCCGCGCAACAGAATTCCGATTGGAAAGCCTATATATTCCGGTAACGTTGAAAAGATTGAAGAAACTGAATGAAACTAAAATTAGAAGAAAAACTAACTAGAAATTATCTTGAAGCTGATGATTCTAAATGATATTAAAGAACAAATCTAAGAATGGAGATTGAATGTGACGATAAAAAATCAATTCTAGAATACTGTTCATTACTATAAAATTACTGGTTACCAACCAGATTTATCAGAAGTTATTCATTTGAATTTGACAGTGAAACATGGATAGCATTTTTATATGCATATATTCATTTTGCCAAAAAATAACCTATAGCAGATTTTTCTTAATTTGTGTACATAGATTTACCGCAAAGTGCAAAATTCTTAAAAAATTGCAAAAATTTGAATTTCGCGGAGTTTTCGTAGTGTGCAATGTGCATTTGCATACAACACTGATCTAGACAGAACTTCAGAAGAAAGTCCAATGTTATGCGACGTTACTGGTACATCTTTGTGACCTAATAGCTCCTCTACCTTTGATTCTATCAATACTGACACTAAAGTAAAAGTTAAAAAGAAGTTGAATACATATAAGATTTTTATTTTACTTTCAATTTACTTTAGTTTGACGTGAAACAAATTTAAAATTATGACCAATAAAGGTTTTTCAAAAAGTCGGATTTAATTTCTTGCCACATCCTTTATGGACTACCAACTGTAAAGTGTTTATAATACATGGTTACCAAGTGTCTCAAATTTCTATTTCTTTACTGCGAAATGTTTATTGAGAGCAAACTTGAACGATTGAAATTATTCTTTAAGTGCAGAAATTTTTTTTCAAAAAAAAATGAAAGTAGTGGCATCATATCTAGGAGTGTGTAAACTGTATATTGTGTAGACTTGTGACGTGCACATTAGAGAAAATGTATTTGTTTTTCATATTTGCTTCTTTTTTGAGTTGTAAAATTGCTGATCCTGTATACTGTATAGTGAGGGAGGGAAGGTATCATCCTGTATACTGTATAGTGAGGGAGGGAAGACCCATTGATCGTTTATTCATGGGGTCCCTTATTCCTCATTGATCGGCCATTCACGGGGTCCCTCATTCTTTATTGATTGTTCATTCACGGGGTCCCTCATTCCTTATTGATCGTTCATTCATGGGGTCCCTCATTCCTCATTGATCGTTTATTAACGGGGTCCCTCATTCCTTATTGATCGGTAATTCACGGGGTCCCTCATTCCTCATTGATGGTTCATTCACGGGGTTCCTCATTCCTCATTGATCGTTCATTCACGGGGTCCCTCATTCCTCATTGATCGTTCATTCACGGGTCCCTCATTCCTCATTGATCATTCATTCACGGGGTCCCTCATTCCTCATTGATCGTTCATTCACGGGGTCCCTCATTCCTTATTGATCGTTCATTCACGGGTCCCTCATTCCTCATTGATCGTTCATTCGCGGGGTCCCTCATTCCCCATTGATCGTTCATTCACGGGTCCCTCATTCCTCATTGATCGTTCATTCACGGGTCCCTCATTCCTCATTTATCGTTCATTTCTTTTTCTTAAAATTTCGATCAATAAAATAATGGACGAATTCGTTAGTTCGTTACAATGTCAAGCTATTTTTCTACAATTTGTACATACAGGGTTACCCACAAAGGTTGAGACTTCAAAGACGACTGTGTGGAATTAACTCAGAATACATTCCTACATTCCTGGTTCCTTCAAACTGTGTACTTGTTTTTTTTCTTTGTAAAACTATTAAGCATATAACATAAAAAATATAGGAAATGCAAAATCAAAAATTCGGCCTTCAGATCCATATTTTTATTTTTTTTAGTTTTAGGTCGTCATTAAAGTCTCCTTCTTTGTGGGTAACCCTGTATTTTAGGTTTATGTTAGAAAATATTCTAAAAACTGATTATTTTTCCAACCAGAGTTTGAATTTTCAGTCTGGAAAATAAGACAATGAAAACATATATATTTAGTATTTACTAATTAAACCAAAAATAGAAGAAACATATAATTAACTCTATAATTGAATAATAATAAAATTAAAACAACAATCGATACATGTAGCGTTATATAAAAAATATCTGTAGTTTTCAAAAAGTGGGTGCAGAATATAATAATATAAAATATAAAGATTTATTCACACACAAAGATATACATACAATATATAAATGGTGAAGTTTAAATTTGTTCACGATGCAATGTATTTCTTATAGTGTTTCACGACTAATTAGGATATGAGGAGGGGGGCAGGGGAGAGGGCCGGTTAACCAGTTCAGTTGAAAGATCAGGTTGAAGAGTAAAGGATGCAAGGTTTTGTAAGAGTACTCGGTATCTTAGCTACAGCAGCAGTGCTAACTGGGGCAGCAGCATTAGGGGGGAAAGGGGGAGGCAAAGAAAATAAGAACAATCGTCCAAAAGAAGAGGAAAAAGGTATTGCATAAAAATAAATAATTCCCCTAGTTGTTCATATTCAAACGCTTTAATTATTATTTACAACTACTTTACAGGGAAGTTATAGGGACTTTTGAGCAAAGTTTTTAATTTCCCTAAAGTGTGAGGTTTTTTATACAAAATCTGATCATACACCGGGATGTTATTTTACTTAATTGTCACACGGGGAAGTAAAGTAACTTAACACCCCACTGTTGGGAAATCTGGGGATGGTATAATGTTGGTCAAAATGCGGTAAAATAATATGAATTGATAATTTTACAAAGTGTTTTTTTAAAGTAGTTTTTAATTTTAGCGTTTAAAGGATTCATTAATTAGGGGAATATTGTATTCTTTATTGAGACAAAAAACACCACAACATTTTATTTGTAAATTGAATTCTCTTTGATGATACAAAACTCATTTAAAAAATAATTAGAAAAATAATGAAAAATATTATTGTTTAGGTTTTATTCATTTTATTGATTTATTTTCCTTCAATTCTCAATTCTTAAAAAAAAAAATATTTTCCGACAGAGACTTTTCATATATATTCTTGTGTAGAAAATGTTTTTTTTTTATTTCGGGTAACTTCCATTAAAAGTGACATGTCTCTACACTTAAACGCTTCCTCTGCTCAAGGATGAAGAAGATATCCATGTTTATCTCTTTAAAAAATAATCATTTTCAATTGTGAGTTCTCTACTAAAGTGACTACGGGACGAAATTATCAGGATTACCATTTGTCAAGTTAGAAAATCAACGAATGAATTAAATGAAGGTTTAAAAGATATTAAATTGTATATAGGACAAACCTCTTTTCAATGTAGAGTTATTTTAAATTACAACTATACAGTTCTTTTAAATAAAATAAATTATTTTAATAACCATAATTTCCCATAGTCTAATATTCTATTATAACCTGAGCTGGGAACTTTAGAATTGGATTAATTGGATTAATCCCGATCACTTAATCTGAATAACAAGTGTGGACACTTTTAATTTACTGCTTCATCCGCTATTCTCTTTTAAAATGTCCCTACCAGATTTTTACCAATGAGAGTGTTCTCGTTAAATGGCGCGCAAAATTTCAAATTTCCCGGTTACTGATTGGCTGTTCGGGTTTCTGCATTCGCCAATATTGGTTGAACAGTACACACACTAAAGATTAAATTAATCTTGAGATTAGTAAAAAGAGGAGATGAAGCATTGATCTCGATATCCACAAGTTCTAAAGTTTTCAGCTCTGGACAGACGAGTTACAATAAGGAAGATTGACAGAGGACACTTTTAAAATTTCTCAAGCCAACATTAATATTTTAAAAAAAGGGGACACATAGTAAAATTTTGCAAGCATTTATGTAGTGTTAAGAATTGAAATTTGCTATATAAGCCTGGTAAATAATAATAAAAGAGATTAAGCATTGATCTCTACATCCACAAATTCTATAGTTTTCAGCTTGGATTAGTTTCAGACTACAAAGATCTCCTCATATTTGTATCAGCTTGTATAATATTTGAGGCATTGAGTCTTTGTCGTAAACTCAAATTTTCTACTCCTTGATACACCTGATATTTCAAACTTAGATTATCTAATCTAAATGAATTCATAGTTTGAAAAAATCTGAGGTCTACCAAGGTTGTAATGCAAGGAAAGTTAATTGCGGTCGTGTATAAGCTGCGTACACATTGAAACCAGTTTTCTCTGGGCGGAATTTGTAAACAAGAATAGATGCATCAGTGTTCGTTTAGTATCCGAGGAGGTTAAAAGCATTAAATTTTGATAATTTTGATAATTCACATAATACTTTCCTACGACCAGAATATTTCATTGATTTTTTATGTGAAAGATGGATCCCATGTCAGGCTTTGACATCCGTCTTGTGTTTACATTACCGCCCAGAGACAGTACATTGCAGTACAAAAGATGTGTACACTTCTGAAATAACTTTCCTTGCATTACATCCTTGAGGTCTACGATATTGGGTTGCAACTTGCAAAGGATAAGTTGATTAGAAGATAGAAGTAAAACCTCGATTCGCCAAACGATACTTCCGAGTTTCCTGATCAGAGTCTATTCCTTTGTATAAGATAACATAAACAGAGAAAAGAAAAGTTATTTCTGAATAAACGTTTCTTTTCCTGAGTTTTTTTAAATAATAAGTTTCGGATTCTACGCAAAATGCACATATATCCGGATTTTACCTCTCTATATATCTCAATAGATTTAGTTTCAAAGAAGACATTGTCAAAAATAAAATTCTCCTCCATTTTTTGCAATTTTACCAACACTCAGTCAATTTTACCGGGAAACTAAATTTATGTCGATCCACTAAACGTAGACTTTTAAAACCAAGTTAATGAAATTTCCGTGGTCATCCCGAGTTCCCCAATCAAAATTTGAGGCAAATCAATCAAGATTCATGAGTTATGATCGGGATTACACACAGACAAACAGAGGTTCTAATTTTATATATATATTCATAGATACAGTTGCTCGTATCGGAGATGTTATCGCTGAGGCTGTTGTGCAGTCCCAGGGTTTGAATGTTGATCAATCTAGTACTGGAGGTGTGGAGAGGGTTGTAGGACGGATAGATAATGAACCTTATCTCAATACTTATCAGATAAATCATAAACCTTACTCATGGAAGAACCAAGGATTGGATATCATCGGTATTACCGGAACCACGTAAGATTTTTTTGTTTTAAAAAATGTTTAGATTTTTCTGCACGTTTACGTGAAGTATCACTTTTGAATTGATAAAGACATTGATGGGGGGGGGGGGGGGGAACGTATCGTACCTAACTTGATACGCTAACATTTCAAAACGTCTTGACTTTCCTTGCTTCATAATTAGGGTAGGGATTGGGTACATTTTAAAATCTTTGAGCTATGGGCCTAGAATTGTCATTTTTGAAAAATTCTTTAAAAAATGACCTTGTTTGTGCATATTTTTAAAATATTATTTAGTTATACAGTTTCCTATGTATTTTTCTTTTCAATATTGCGTTTCGGTGTGTTCGTTTAAACATTGAAATTTGATCGAATTTATCAAAAAACCATATATCTAGGAATGATCGACCTGTTTTGGGAAATCTAGCTCAGTACGGTGATAGTGTAACTACCCCTGAGGAACTACTAGATCTATGCTGTCAATATCCAGCCTGTTACGATCCTCTTTATGAACTCTGCATAGATACTTGCAGGTTCATTTACCATTCAGTAACCGTATTTTTAAGAGATTCTCCTGGCATGTCCGATTCACAACAGGTTTCTTACAAGACTTTGTTGTCTGTAGATTCAGTATGAAGTAGATATTCACGTTTTTCTTTCTTCCACATTATTCAGATAAAGGTTTCCAGGATATTGTCGGGAATCGGACTTGTTCCTGTTTTAATGAAAGGTCACTTGAAATAACAACTACAAATACATAAACATTATTGTTATCATTACTATCATTATTATTATTATTAATTTATTATTGTTCTTATATTTATTAAATTAAAACTTATATACTACTATCTATAATTTGTCTCAATTATATTAAGGAAATGTGAAACTGTTTACCCTGTTACTAGCTGGTTACCCTGCCCTCCTCTACTCAATATACCAGACTGTACCTCACCTACACTCTCATATACGGTATTTCCTCTACTCAATATACCAGACTGTACCTCACCTTGAATCTCATATTTGGTATTTCTTATACTCAATATACCAGACTGTAACTCACCTACCCTCTCATATACGGTATTTCCTCTACTCAATATACCAGACTGTACCTCACCTACCCTCTCATACACGGTATTTCCTCTACTCAATATACCAGACTGTACCTCACCTACCCTCTCATATACGGTATTTCCTCTACTCAATATACCAGACTGTACCTCACCTTCCCTCTTAGATACGGTATTTCTTATACTCAATATACCAGACTGTACCTCACCTACCCTACAGATGAGTGTAATTTTAGCCAACCAATTTTATTTGATAAAAGGCACCACCATAGATTAGTAACCATACAGATAGAACACTTGATGTCGTCTTTTCAAGATTTAAGGGTTTTTCGTTCACAATAACCCTGAGGCAGAAGCCCAAGGGATTTACGCGCATGCTGCGTATGGATGACAAGACAGTTGTATTTTTTTATGGGAGCCACATATGACTCTTCAATGTAAGTCTTTCTAAAAGAATATAATTGGACTCATTTGCTTCAAATTATTCTCAATTTCTTGTAATTTTATATCTTTAATATATTTTGTTGCATTTAAATCCCTGGTAAGTGATTATTGATGCTAGAATGATGGAGGGAGAAGGAAGGGGGAGGAGGGTGGAGAACAGGGGGAGATAAGAGAGGAGTGAGGGGGGGGGATATAGAAAAGGCTTGAAATTTATATTAAAAGTGATGTGAAGGGGTTAAAAGACTAATTTTTAACGCCAGCTCATTGAAAGAAATTAAACTTTAATAGTGTGGGTGCTACCTACGTAGGTTTGAAAACTTGAATAGTTTGGGTGCTACGTACGTAGGTTTGAAAACTTGCAATTTTTTAAACCCCATTTTTCGCAAATCTGGATTAGCCTATTCGAGAGCTATCCAAAAATGTAAAATTTGTCATATTTACCTTTAAACTTTAGAAGGGAGGGGGGGGCAACCAGCGTTTCCTGGTTTTCAAGAAAATCAACAGAGATAAAGGGTAAAGACAAAACAAATATGGGCCTTTTTAGATTTTTTTAACGTATCGGTCTTTTTACCCGTTCTTTACCTTACACTGGGAATTTAAAAAAAATCCGGCAAAAATCCGTTAAGATACTTTTCCTTCAAGTCAAAAATATTTTAAGGTAATGGCGTCAAGAGCTTTTATAAAATAGTAATTAGTTCTCATGGATCCTGGTATAATTGATTTAATGAAATTATTAATTCATTTTACAAATTGTAAGATTGTTGCATATTTATATCATATTTAGAAAAAAATTGGTAAAATAATAGTTTATAAACGGTGCTTCGAATATATATATTAAATTGTAATTATTGAAAATAATATGAACCAACCATAGAAAAAAACAGAACCAAGGCTCGTAATTATTATCTAGAAATCCTGCAAGTTTTACTTCACAAATCTTTCAATTCGGATTTATGCATTACTTTATTGAAAAGATCAAATTTACTTTGATAAAATGTTCAAAAAACCGACCTCTATTCCAGAAGATTTATTTCAGTTGGTTTCATCCTATCACAGTTTTGTTAATATCTATAAATGTTCAGGGTGCTCTACCGCTTGCCTGTTATCCTGATATTGGTCCGTTTGGAAATATTATTCCCCTGGAAAGTATTTTAGCAGCTAGCCGGGGATTCCAGGTAGTTTAAATAACATCAATAAAACTACCAAAATCTATAGACTGTACAATGTTAAAGATTGATTTTATTAAACTTCGCAGTATCTTTATCCTAAAAAAGTTAAGAAATTATTCATAAACAATTGTTAAAACGCGTTAGTCGTTTTGGGGTCGTTGGCATATATTTTCTGCCAGGGTAAAAAAACTGCGATTCTGTAGATCAAATGATATAAGTTTATAATATTAAAGGTTTACATCATCACGTTGAACAGATATAGGGATTGGAAAATTTCAGTTTGTGGCAAAAACTCAGTTTCTTTGGTAAACTGTGAGAACAGTAAAATAATCATGCACTAATTACAGGGTGGAGCCAGGAACGGGTTGACCGGTGGACAAGCGTATAGGAGCAATATCAGGGACACTAATAGGAAACAGTGTTCAGAGACAGGAATATGTAGGAGCGCAGCAGTAGATAGTAGGGGACCCTGGGGTAGATAACAGGGACCCTGGGGTAGATAACAGGACCCTAGGGCAGATAACAAATGTGGGCCGAGAACTGCGGCCAATTAAGCTGTTTTTATGATATTTTATTCATGATGAATAAAGGAAAAATAAAAAAATATATGTTTAAAAATAGTAAAACAAGTTGGCAATGCCCAATTCACAACGGTGTCCTTAAAATCCTTTTCTGATCAAGTATGAATTAGAATTAAGGTTTACAATTTGGAAACCTGATTATTTTTAATTGTGATTTCTTTTCAAATATGACTTGTGTAATGTGTATTTTACTGCAGGATAAAGTGTAGGAATTACCAGAATTAAACACCTTTAAACCTAAAATAACTTGGAGGCCTAATCCACGAAATTTCTTTTAATAAAATCTATATCCAATAAACGTCAAAACGGCTGAACCAATCCAGCCCAAAATTTGTGTGTTACATCACGTGACCCCAGAGAATGCTTATGGATGATCAAAATTTTAAAAATTTGCCTCCAACAAAATTCGATTTCCAATAAATTTTAAAAATCCACGAAATTTTTTCAAGAAATCCGCAAACTATTCTTTTTTGTTTTACAGTGTGTACAAAGAGGAAATGTTCACAATTGAAACAGAAGATGGGCGCGAACTGCCCTAAAAGGCTAGTGTCTGGGTGTCCGTTTGTTTGTAGCCAAAAAACGTAAAAATGACTAAACCGAACGGCCCCAAATTTTGTGTGCTCATGTTCAGAAAGATAGCCACAATTAAAAGTTGAAATAGAAGATGGACACGAAGCTCCCTAAAAGCCTAGTCATCTAAATTTTGAAGTTATTTCTTTGCATTAATTTAATAATAAAGACGATCGAATAAAACGTAGGATTTTCCTAAAACTATCCTAATAATGAATATATATTAAGGATATTATTGTCTAATAAATATTTTTGATTATCATGAGGAATAAACTTATCTGTTTTTAGAATATATTGATTAGATATTAATCTGGTTGGAGCCAATACTTGAATTAATAAAAACAAAAATGGCCACGTCATGGTTTTATAATATTTATAACACTGTTGTTTTGGTTCGCAGTGTTATAAAGTACAAGAAGGTTCAACCTTCGAGATATAGAAAAAATTTAAGTCTAAAAACTGTATAGTACGTCGTGAAAAACAATAGTGTTATAGGTAATTTTATGAAACGTTTGTGTACTTGTCTTATTTCTATGATCTGAGAGTGACTTTTGAAAACATTCATTCCTGTTTCGAGGATTTTGATAATGAAGACGATATTTTCCATATTTTCCGGGAATGCGCCAGTCGTGAAAACAAGTTGTAAGCGAAATATTAATTTAAAAAACACAAAATAAAAAATATTATGAAATATCAACTATATACAAATGCGTCGAAATATAATCGATGACTATAGGATTTAATATCTAAATTATTTGTTATTATTTGATATTAATTTGATTTTTTACGATCTAAGTCGTATGTTCCAACTTTCTCAATTTGTATGAACGCTTCGTTCTTCGGTATTAGTCGTTTTTAACAATTTTCTCCATAGACGCAACAGAAGTAAGGTTAGTAGCGACCAGAAGCGATTATTTATCGCCGTAAGCCAATACCCCCTTTCATTTTTCGCGAACACTCCCTTGAACCCCCCCCCCCCCATAGTTTTTTTTGATGGATACGGTGTAGGGTTGAGAAAGGTCAAACAAAAATCAGAAATGGTTTATAACTTTTTTATTAATTAAGCTACAGGGCTAAATGTTAATATTTGTCAAAAGTAAAAAAAGACTATTTTTGAAAAAATTTTCGACAAACTTTTTGAACTTTTAAAAATCCTCCCTTAAAGTCAGAGGTCTCATTTTTCTTAATGAGCAGGCCTTGAACTAGGGACATGTATCTTACTCCCCTATCTCAACTCTAAGGGAAAAATCATGGGGGGGGGTGGAAAACACCCCCCAATCTATATTAGACAAAAATAGCCCCATCGGGATAGGGTTAAAAGCTTATGTTTGATCGATCCGATCAACTATGAAGTAGATATCAATATTTATAATATACAAAAATTATTATTTTTAAATGCAAATCTCTGCAAAAGTGACTTGCGCATTTTTACTGCAGGAAAAAATATAGAATTAGTAAGCACTGTACACTTGTAAACCTAGAAAATATAGAATTAAGCTCTATTCACGAGTTGTTATATTCAGTCTTGATGAGTCGGAATAATGTCTTTACTACCCAGCACGTGATGGCAAGAGCTACAATTGCTCCGGCCCCATCTGTAACTTGATTGATGACGAGCAGGGTTGGAGTTATGGTTGTTGAAACAAAAAAACCATAATTTCCTTGTAAATTCCACTCTATTTCTCTTTCCGAGAATTTCGGTTTACTGAAAACTCGTATGCTGTCCGGGGTTATCCCTGATAGGACATCCTCCGCGCTGGCCTGGCCAACTAGTACTGCCAGCATGCCCACGAAGAGCAACTGGTTTACTCTCGTACTCCTCCCTCTCCGGTGCTGGTCTGCCTGTTCTCGTACTTCACCGACAGGCTGATCAACTTCCCCACGCTCTCTCCCTTCTTCATCTGAACAAAGATATCGTTATTATGGTTAATCATGTAGATTGCAGGTGAACGTAACACTCCTGCCCTGGGGGAAAATTTAGATGCAAAAAGATTTTTTTCAACAATAGTGTTAAACAAGATTGGAAAAATGAAATCATCCCCATTGACTTGTCCTTGATTTTCTTCTAAGTAAACCCATGTCCCTTGCCCAGGGTGAAGTGTTACGGAATTTTTCACTTTTGCAATACTAGACTTTTGACCTGAAATGGTATTAATTCCTTTCCTAACTCCATTGCTACCACTATCTGCTTCATCTTCTGTGTCACTCCAACTACTTTCTTCTGCTCCTTGTACATAACTACTCTGGTTTACTACTCTATACCTTGTCCTTACACTACTTCTAATGCTACCCCTTCTTTCAATACTCCCTCTCTGTATCCTTTCTAAGGATGCAGCTCTTGTTCTTATCAAATCAGAACTCTCTCTTGATCTGCTTCTTCTTCTCAATGGTGCTGTAGTGTCTGGCCTCTGTGCCCAACTTTCTTTTAACGCCGTCTTTAGTGACTTCAAAGACGGGGTAATGGAACTCTTCTTGGACTTCGGTTTCTCCGGTAGCTTGAATTCTGCACTGTATCTTTCCGGCGGGATTGATACTCTGCTAGATCTTCTCTCAGTTGTAACGGAAGTAGTACTGCCCTCTAACGGCCTGTTATCTTCTTCCTCATTTCTGGATTCTGTTGTCTGTTGGTTCTGGTGTGGGGGGGTATTTATTTCGGTAGAAATTTCCCTGCCCTCACTGGTATTTGTAGCTTTCTCTGGTTCTGGTTCAATTTCTGGGGTTAAGTTGGCTGCCGACCCCATTATCTCATCTTGTTCCACTGGAGGATTTCTCATGATTTCATCTATTGCTTCGTCCTCTACTTGGAAGTGTTCTTCAAACTGCTCCTGAGGGTTGCTCTTGCTAGATCTGGTTGAACCTGGAGACTCGGTAAATGACTGAAATCTGCTGTTGCTGCTTTTGGAGCTTATTGATTCTTCTGAGGTTTGGGCTGGTGCAGGGGGTGTTGATGCGATGCTGCTGCAGTGACTCCTCCCCCGTTGATGAATTCTTGAATCTTGTGAGAAGAATTCATCAATTAGTGTTGCATCGAGTGGTTTTGTTGGAAGCTCAAAAGATGATAATTCCTCTGCTAAGTCTGCCAAGGCTCCAGCTTCAATGCAGGGTAATTTGAACAAGGGATCCAGATCTTTCTGTCCCATCTTCTTTGCAAGCCGCACCTTTGATCTGTGGGCTGCATACGTTCTTGGATTTTTCACGCCATACTCGCGTAATTCCAGCATGGCGTTGTTGATAATCCGTTGAACAAGGACTGGTCCAGACCACTTCAATTGCAACTTCCGAGTATTTCCCTGGGGGGGGAGAGCAGCACAGTAAACCTTATCTCCAACTTCAATGTCATCAACAGGTTTCTCATAACAGCGGAACTGTCGTCTTATACGCACGTCGTCTGATGCTCTCATAAGATCAAGGATGTAATCTAATTCTTCCTCCATGGAGTGTGGGGAGGGATTGTCATTTTTAACAAATTTTGGAAGCAAAGATAAATGTGGAATATTAAGTTCTCTTCCAAGAAACATTCTGGCTGGGGAAGAATTGGTAGAAAAATGTTGCGTTGAATTATAAGCTAAAATTAATGTTGGTAGGGATTTTTCCCAATCATTTTCCCCGTTTGCCTTTTTTGCTTTCAAAAGTGCCCACAATGTTCTGTGAAATCTTTCCACTGGATTAGACTGATGATTATGACTAAACCCCACTTTAACATTGACTTCAAATTTCTTTAAAAGGGATTTAAATAATGCGTTGTCAAACTCTTTGCCTTGATCCATCCTAATTGTTGCAGGTGCTCCGTACAGGCTTATCCAATTTGTCATTATTGCAGAAACAACAGACTTTGCAGATTTATCTGGTAAGGGCACTCCTGCAACAAATCTAGAAAATTGATCAAGTATAGATAATATGTATTTGTTTTTATTATTAGAAATTGTTATCGGACCTACTAGATCAACACAGACGACTTCGTTGACGTTGAGAGTTCTTCCGTCGAATGGATTTACCTGTTTAAGGTTCACCTCCTCCCTATGTAAACAACCCGGACATTCTGTTACAAATAGGGCAGTATCTGCTCTCCATCCTGGCCAGAAGAAATGTTGTCTTACCTGTTGTGTGGTACGTTGTACACCCCAGTGTTCCCGTAAATGTACTGCAAGCAGAGCTTGATATCTGTGCGAGGGTGGAACGACTATTCTTACCAACGGGTTCGCATCAAACTCATTCTCCAAGAGGTAAACTAACCTGCTGGAGCTTGTTGTTTTTTCATCTGTTAATCTGAGTTGTTTTCTTACCTTGTACAGTTGCAGTACATCCTCATGTACCTCATCGAATGTTGAGGTATCGATTTTGTTTTCGTCAATCTTACCTGTTTTCAGGTTAAACCAAGATCTTACCATTTGAATTGCACTGTCTTCAGTCTGTGCTTTCTCTAGGTCTACTTGATCTATGACAATCTTACCTT